TTTGTATTTTAATAAGGAAACATCCTTAACAAACAAATGAATGGTTCACAGTGGTTTTTACATTTTTGTTTGGGGCTGAATATTTCAAACAGAGGCTTTGTTTACTTGAACTGCTCAGACCATCGCTGGTTCTGCCTAAAGACATGGCTTGATTTCAGTTTCTGAAATGTCAAACTTGGCAGAGACTAGAGTTTCAGGGAATTACAGAGGGAGGAGAATCCATAATCTTTGCCCTTGAGGAAGTCAAACTCGAGGGACCAATGACAAATAAACATCCCATAGAATACAAATAACCAAAGCCTGGAAGTAGTCCCATATATGCTAAATTACAGCTCCATAAATGTATTCACTTCTAAAATATCTGCGTAGGCAGACAGATCAATGGAACAGAATGGAATCTTAAGTAGGCCCAAATACTTCAGGGAGTCTAACGTATGATAAAAGTGGCATTTTAAATCAGTGAAGAAAGATGGATTATTTAATAGATGGCATCAAGACAACATTTTCAGCCATTTAGGAAAAAAAACCCCTAGATCTCTATTTCACTCCTTGCACTAAAGTGCATTCTGGATGCACCAAAGCTTTAAGATAAAATAAGAAACTGTAAAAGTTTTATAAGACATCATGTAAAACATTTTTAAGGAAACCTTGAGTTGGATAAGATTTTCTCAAGTAAGAAACAATCCAAGTATATACTAACAAGAGTGATAAAAATTAATTTTGCTGCTAATAATTAAAACTTTCCCATAGAAAATTGATTAAAAGTTAAAAAGTAGAAATGAAAAAAATCTATGCACGTTCCATCCTCAATTGCACTGCAAAAAGGTCATAACAAGTTTTACTATGTCTGCATTGAATATGTACTGTATCCTCAAAATTTAAATGAAGTGTTATGATAGACAGACAAGAAAAATGAAATGACCTGGCAGAGGAGGCAGAGAATAAGTTGGATATGGTGGAACTGCCTGTAATCCCAGAACTGTGGAGCTGAGGCAGGAAGATTACAAGCATGAGCCCAACTTGGCCAATTTAGCAACTCTGTGAGACTCCCTCCGAAATAAAACTAAAAAAGGGCTGGAGATGTAGTGCAAGGCCTTGGTTCAGTCTTCATCTGAGTTCTTCAGAGAGAGAGACAGACAGAGAGACAGAGACAGAGAGAGAGAGAGAGAGAGAGAGAGAGAGAGAGAGAGAGAGAGAGAGAATGCAAGGAATTTAGAGCCAACAGTGTTTTTCAGCATGTAAACCCCCAATCTCATTCATAATTCACGAAATGTAAATCATACCATAAGACAAAATTTTTCATGTAGACTGCTATAAAATTGGGAAATTGACAGGATGAGTAAGCATATGAGGATTCATATATAATGCAGGTGTGGTAAAAATTGGTCCAACCTCTTTGAGACATAATTGGACAATGGTATCAAAATTTAAAATGTGTGAAATTTGCAAGCTTTAGTTTTAACCATTTGTTCTCTAGTTTTATTTGCATGTATAAACAAGGAAGTCTAAATGAAGACAGTTTATTGCTGCATTATTTAAAACAGTTAAAAGAATAAGAATGGGAAACAACCTGCCTGGTCATTAGCAGGACACTGACAAATAGTGATACAATCCTGTAATAACTTGGAATAACTTTAGTGCATCTATATATGCTGTTACGAACAGATTGTCACATTTTATTGTTAAGTTGAACCAAGAGAAGGTGCTTAGTAGGGTCTATAGAAAAATGTTTTCCTGGACAGTTTTCTGTCATTTAAGAAATTGTTGCCTGTGGCTACCTGTAGGAGGTGGTGCCTAGGGACAGAGTTGTGAAGGACGGTCACTTTTCTTTGAATACTTTTCCTACTATTTGAATTTGTTATCAAAATCCTATGCTATCCTTTGAGTAAATAGGTGAATTAATTCATAAACAAACCAATTGCGTGGACATTTTCCCCAACTCATTGCTTCTGTCCATGCTGACCTTAAATCTTCACATATAATCACACTAAAATCAACAATAAATTCTCTAATTGAAGCTTTTTCTATAAAAACAGGAAGAGTTCAATTCAAAGTGCTATTCCATGAGGAAAACAATGCTTGGGCAAGTTGCTCTGTTTTCCATTTGTCTCACTCACAGTCCAACAGATCAGAAGGGGAAGGACCTTGCAAGAACCAGCGTGCACCATCAGTTATAGCCCAAGAACTGGTAGCTTCTTCTTCGATTCATTGATCTGGTAATGGATCAAGTTCCTGTGTACCACGAGTCTGCAAAGAAGAGCTGTGTCCTTGGTAGTTACCAGTATCAGGAGAGTCAGGAGTTTATCTTTATAGCAGAGTCTGCTAATATAACCGTCAAATGTCAAATCTCCGCAGACCTTTCCCTCCACAATGACTTGGGCTGGTTAGCATAGGTAAGCTATCTTTCTGTCAATGGGACAAAATACTGTAGATAATTGAAAGGAGGGAAGATTTGTTTTGGTTCATGATTTCAGTCGGTGATCGGCTCCATTGTTTTAGGACAGTGGGGAGGAAGAAACGTCATGGCAGAATGGCATGGTGGAGGAAAGTTTCTTACCTCATGGCCGCCAGGGAAGGAAAAGAGCTAGAGAGTCTGTTACTGGACTTATTTTTTCTGCTGCTGTCCCCCTTGTTCTTAGAGTTTTGTGTGGCACCATTCACATTCAGGGTGGATCTGCCCCATCGCTGTGCTTTCCAAAGTGGCAAACATCTCTGCAGATAGCCTCACACATACAACCCGAAATGTGCTTTACTATTTTGTCCCATCGTCAGTCCAGTCCAGGTGAGAGTCAAGATTAATCAACAGAGTAGAAAAGCTATAGAACGGACATTCTCAAAAACAAAAGCTCTCGTGCAATAGGGACTCACTGACCCTTGAGAGTAAACATCACTATTAAAGTGACACCCTAAGTGCCAAGTGAAAGACTGATAGCTGAAGAAAGAGTAATTATAGCAAAAAAGATTTCACAGTATTATTAATATTGCCTGGGATATACAATGGAATATTAAAGAAATTGCCACTATGAATCATAAGGCATTTTTAATTAAAATATATTTTTTGAAATAAAGTCATATGGTAATTTTTCCTTGCTTTGTAGTATGAGTAATTAATTTTTCATTAATTCAAGAAAAATGTTGAATAGATTCATTATGAGGCACAGCTAGTTGTTAATATGTTTAATAATAATAATAATACTCTTTTCATAAAATACGCCAAACATTTACTTATTTAATGTTTGCAACACCCTTGTAAACTGAGCCAGACAGGGAAGCTTTTATTGTATCTCATTGACAGGTCAGGAGGGACGCAGTTAGATGACATGCATTGCTTAGAATGAATCAATCAGCGATAAATGTGCAAATCACACCTGAAATTTTAAGTTTCAAAAATAATAGCTTTTATAATCACTTGGTCTTTGTAGGAAATATAATCTATATTTTACTTTAAGGCACTATGGTCACTATGACTTATTTCCAAGACCAGGACAAAATAGCACCAAGAAGATTTGCGTGTGAAGAATTATTGGATTTCGTTTATAAGTATAAATTGCAATTGGTTACAATTTTGTCATATTTCTTAAATATCACCAAGCTTAAGATTCCTAGAGGCTGCTTCGAGGTGTACATCACATCTTGGATTTATGATCTCGGAAAATAACATAGTAGAAACTGAGTGACTTTTAAAAAACTTTTGTAGGTTGTCTATTTCTGCCTCAAAGAAGTAGGTCATGAGGATGACCAGAGACTTATCAAGGCATTTACGATTTTATTGTATTTTTAAAAAAAATGTCAGTGGAATCTCTGCTCATCCTCATTTTTTGACAGTGATGGCATGAACTGTGGCTGAGGAAAAGCTCCTGATCCACCCGTGCTTGTGTTTTAGGACTTACTCAAAGTCCGAAGCTCGAGCTTGCAAGGACACAAGGGTAGCTGTCCTGCCTGATCACAAACATCCTTATCCCTGTGGACCTCTTCCAGGAATAAAATGGTTTCCTCAAATTCTATTTGGATCTTGAAAGCTTGTAAATAGACCCAGCCTCGGCAGGTGAGGGGGCACAGTGAATGCGCGTGGCGCCATTGAACTGTAAAGTACCATGAAGAGTGTCTGAAAGTTGAAATTAACTTTTTATTAGCATGACACAGCTGTGGGCTGTTTCATCTTGTCAGCAGCAAATTTCTGGTTCTCTCCCTTGCCTTTTCATGGACTGCACATTGGTTCACCTCCAGCTATTCCTGCCGGTCTAACAGGCACTATCCTGCTCCTTGTCAGCTTTTTCTAGTCCTGCCGCTTCTTTATGTGCCTTTTTTGATGTTTCAAAAGAAGCGTGGAATGTGATAGACCTTTCATTTTCAAATGTGCTTTTACTGGCTTTGATGCTGTATCAGAGCAATAGCTTGGAAAGACTGGGTGAAGGAGAAATGGGAGACCGGCTCTCTCAAGGGCTGGCTGAATAACCTGTTATGCTATATTTTCCTATCTGTGTCAAGAATGTGGGTTAAACAATAAGTCTTCCCACTCCTAGACTTTGCGAGCCACCTGACCGGTTTGTTGCCTGAAGACTTGACAAAATACAGGCCTCCAATGATCAGACCTGCACCAAACCTGAGATGAAATAACCCTTGATCGAACAGTATAGCAGTGTATGCTTCCGTTTTTTATATCTCTTTTTGGAATAATTAGGGTAAGGAAGACTGTGCATGCGTTATTTCCTGTGTATCTTGTCTCCCTCCATTTGGCCACTTAAATTGGCATCTTGCTTTTGCCTGCATTTAAAGCCATGACCTTTCGAAACAAATAACCTGCAACAGCTGAGAAATGTGTGAATATTTGTTCTGCTATGCAGCCTTGATCTCCAGGACATCATGTTTCAAATTGCATTGGAAACAAAAGGCCTCTTTATGACATTCAGTAACCGTACATTTTGTTCTGAAAAGATTGATGAGCTTGAGATGATGATGCTATACAAGGTCATTTAAAGATTAGGATAGAGCAAAAATTATTAAAAATTCACCCTATATTGTCAATATCTTTGATTTAAAAATCATGTAATTTTTAAAAAAAAATGTAAAAGTTCAGTTGCATTTTTTTTTTTTTTTTTGTGATTTTAGCAATATGGAAGAGGAAAGTACTGAACTCTGCTTTGTGGAATCACTTCAAAGTTAATGATAGTGAAAAATTTCTCCCCTGAAGGATATTTGAACAACTGTAATCTTCTATGGTAAAACCACCAAAAAGCCAAATATACAGTTATCAGTTATAAGTAGAGGCAAAAGCAATGGGCCAAAATGCTGCAAGACCAAGAGCATTTTGACTGACATATGCATAGACTTTACTATCATTTGATTAAGTTTCCCAGATTCATTGAGTATATCTTTCACTTGAAAGTGATGGTTCATTGTTTTGCAGGAATGTAAGAGCATACATCAGAGAAGGCAAATGAAAGCACAGTTCAATTATCTAGATCATTTTATTTATTTAAATAATTGTTCTATTCTCCAGCCACCCTGAGTGAAAATTTGATAAAATAAAGGTAGGGTCTTCAAATTCTTTTACTTCTGAATGAAAATCTTCTATCGGTGTTAATTTGGTAGGTATCTGAGGTTAAAACGGTGTTGATTTTCTTACTTATACATGTTTGCAACATATAATGTTTGCGTTCCTTGTGTGTAGATTTAATTAACATAACTCTTATGAATATGCCAGCCCTAGAGACCTGGTGTGTGTGTCACTTTTCAAGGTAGAGGTGGTAAGAATTTGTAGATCTAGATTTCTCAGGGCATGGATCCCCTTACTTGGATTGATTTTTCCCTCCTAATTAAGGCTATCAAATAAAAAAAATTCTCTATACTGTTGTACTGCTATTAGGGAGATTTGTTTGCACAGAGGTTTTTGTAGCATATTTCTGTTAACTTTAAATTCTGTTTAATGTTTTAAGTACTAAATTTTACATTTATAGCACTTTATACAGAAGATATTAGAGACTCTAAAGAGTTAGGCACATACATTTTATAACTAGAGGCCTCACCATTCACCTTGTGGAGTTAGTGATACAGAATATGAAATAAAATGCCATAACTATGGAGTGGAATATCAATTGCAGATGATGTTCTCCTCTGAAATATATGGAGACAATTATGCTTTGGGGCTTTTGGTTCAGACTATTCTATGTTTAATAAGTGAACTAGTCTGTTTTCCCCAAATGCTTTTGGAATTCTCTTTAAGGAAAAACATGAAATTAAGGTATAAGAGGTGTAAGGACCCTGGATGAAACCCAGAGGTCAAATATTTAAAACTGAATATTTGATAATTTAAAAATAGTTCAATAAATTCCATTTATAATGCACCCCCTGAGATGTGGCTTATTCCATGTATTTGAATATTTCAGATTATTTCCTGAGCAGGGACATTGGCTTTCAGTTCGAAGGGTGAATATGCATTTGAGTCATGCTGTGACTTTGAAGAATGTACCTCATATTTTCAGGGCTTCCTTTATATATTTTTAGAACTTTAGAAAGATGGTAATATGCATATTATGCTGATGACTTGAACAATATTCAGAACACAAAGCACAATGTTAAATCTTCTACCTCTGCTCTTCTCTCCTATGTTATTTCCTAGAGGTACCTCGCATCTCTTTCCTGTGAACTCATATGCACTCCCATGCATGGCCCTGTGTGCATACTTGTGTGAGACTTGAGAAGTCTCACAATCTTCCACTGTAAGCTGCATACCCAGGGAAGGTAATGGTGTAGCTTTTGACCTGGGAGAGCAAATGGTGTGGATTCTTGCTGGGTCTGGTGGTGTGAGGGCCATGACCTAGAACAGAAGGAGATGAGCGTTCCAGATCAAGCCTTGAGGCAGAGAGAGAAAGAGACAGAGACAGAGATAGAGAGAGAGAGACAGAGGCAGAGACAGAGAGAGAGACAGAGAGAGAGAGAGACAGAGGCAGAGACAGGATAGAGAGAGACAGAGGCAGAGACAGAGAGAGAGAGAGAGACAGACAGAGGCTGACAGAGATAGCAACAGAGACAGAGAGAGAGACAGAGAGAGAGACACAAAGAGAGAATTCTTTCTTCTTCTACCTTTTTTTCTTTTCAGGTCCTCAACAGATCGGATGATGTCAGCAACACTGAAGACAGCAATTCTATCTATTCAGTCTGCAGATTCAAAGCAAATTTCTTCTGGAAACATTCTCACAGATTACCCCAAAATAATGGTTATATAGCTACCTAAGCATTCTGTGACCCAACCAAGCTGGCATACACAATTGTACCTCAAAATGGATATTTTAAAAATATTTTTTATTTATTATTTTGCTCTCTAAAAATGATATGCAGTAGTTTGGGCACTGAGAATATATGAGGATATTTCTGCTTTTTGGCTTGCTTGAGGAGGCCTTTTACATTCTAAAAGTATAAAAGTGTCCCACTATATTTTCTTCTAGCACATGCACATACAAATTTAGTTCTTTAATCCAGCTGTAGTTTGTACATGTTGTACATGTACAAGTTGTAATCCTACTTGAGAGATTAGGATCTAAATTTAGTTTTTCCTATTGTTGACTTTGTTCAATTACGCTACTTATGCCATTTATTGAACAATCTATTTCCCTTTTTAGTTTAAAAAAGCAACTTGTATAAATTTTATGGTTAAAATTTCCAAGTATGTGTAGCATGCTTCCGAACTGTGGTAGGCTTGGTTTTAAACTCTGGTGATACTGATTTGTCTTTATTGGTACTTTAGTATGTTTCGTCATCTGAGAAAATAGCATGTAAATGTTCAGTTAACTTAGATTTTTTCCAAATTTAATTCTTACTTCATATCTAAATTCTTAAAATACTACTTTTTTCAATATGATACAGTTTTCTAGCTTTCCAAACATGAATTTCAGCTTTATTTAACTGTCACCAGCACTCGAAACTCTTTCATATTTTCCTACTTGTTAAGATGGTATTTCTGGGCATAAGTTGCTTCTTTTTTTCCCTCTGGCAAACTCTTTTATTGATGAGGACATTAATTAATTATTGTGTAGGTGGTAAGTTACAGAAAGGAACACTTTTAATAAAATAGTTTCCTTATTTTGCATTTTTAGGCTCACTTCATTTTTTTTTTGCCAGTCATATAGTGTGATGTGGTATTAGTGTGAAATGTGTATAGTGTTATGTGATAATTTATTTACCTGTTCTCTTCTTTCATTATTATGATTGTTTCTTTCTTTATTTAAAAGATAGTATTGGTATAAACATCACTATGCACACATCTTTTGTGCACTTAAGAATTTGGGAATGATTCCTAGGTCAAGGAAACACATGTATTACATTAAGAACAACTATTAAATATGAGCTGGCAAAGATTTCTTTTTGCCTTTCTCGCTTATTTCATAAATTCACTTCCAAAGTAACAGTGAGGGTGCATACAGGAATGCGAGTGAATTCCTCGGTGAAGCTCTGGGTGATGACATGTGGAATGTGACCTGCAATAGATAACCCTGGACACACAGTGCAGGGTTGGAAGCTGACTTGGCAGAAGTAAGTGAGGATTGCTGAGGTAGGATGGTGTCATCCAGAAAGAATGGTGACAGGGAGAAAGCTGAGACCTGGGAAGCCCCTGGAGTTCCAGGGAGAACTGAGCAGAGCTGCCCAGACGTGGAGCCCCGGCAAAGTGGAAGTGGGTGAGATCCCAAATCAACACAGACAGATTAGGTAATTGCTGAGATCCCTGGGTGGGTTCCTGGAATGCCTCTAGCCTGCTGAGTCAGAGTGGATATTGGGGTGTCCTTTTCAGGGGGAGCTGTCCTAGGACAAAAGACCTTCTGGAATAGGCATTCAAAGCCTCATGGACACTCACACTTTCACCAAAATCTGGACTTGCGTTTGCATTTAGATCGTTCCTAAGCATCTCAAAAGCCAAATTTGCCCCATAAATCTTCTCTTTTTGTTATTTTAACTTTCCTTCTCCCTGAGACTGCGCCAGTCTCTCAAGCCAGGAAATCCAGGCATCTCTCCTCCTCATACCTTTCCATCATGCAGTTCTCTCCAAGAAACTTTGATGCCTGTCCTTTCCTTAGAACTCTGCTCTAGTTTATGGTGCAGCATTTCTACAGCAGTCACCGTCTCCCTCTGCAGCTGGCATACTCTGTCTCTGAAATGGAAATCTGATTGTTGCCTCCAGCCTTTAAAATCTTGGAACCTTTGTGCTGCTGTTACTTTATCAGCGCTCATGCTTCCTTCCCTAGTTGACCTCAGAGGTTCTAAATTTAACGTGCATCAGCATAATCATGGTAAATTCAGAATGCCTGTTCCTTGGCCTCTCCCCAGAGATTTTCATTCAGTAAATCACCCCAGGTAATTCTCTGTAAATGTCCTTGAATCATACTTAGAAACTGTCTAAATCTTTAGCATGACACACATGACCTCCCATGCTCCGATTTCTGCCCAAAATTTGCCTTTGCCCTTTCCATTCTAGCATGTATTTTAGGGTTATCAAGCTATTATTTCCCTCCTATTCATAACTTTTTTTTTTTACATTCTTGTACATGGGACACTGTCTTTCTTGCTTTAGGGCCTTTAGTGTCTAGCTCAGTTCCAAAGACATCACACAGGAGTTTCTGAGTAGGGTGAATGGTTAAAGCCAATCTGTGACAGTTAAGCACTATTGTCAACTTCATTGGCTTGGGAGCCTCCTAGGGAATTAGTAAAACACACTTCTGCTGTGTCTGAATGGGGCCTAGAGGGAGTATGTGTGGTTCCTGGCCCCTTTTTGTCTGGTACTAGTCTTTAGCTCTGATTCCTGGTTGCCATGAACTGAATATCTGTTCCACCATGCCCTTGTACTGCTTTGTGTCCGTTTTGGAGTCAACCAGTTAACCATGGATGGAATCCCCTGAAACCAAGAGCCAAATTATACCTCTCCTCCTTTGAATTATAAGTGTCAGGCATTTTGTTCCAGCAATGGGACAAAACTGATTAAGGCAGAATCTATGAAGCTCTATAAAAGCAGTAGTTTGGGCAATGAGAATATATGAATGTATATATCAATGCATGCATGAAATTAATCTAGGAAGTGGATCTGTCAATTTTCATCAGATTCTGAAAAGAGACTATGACCTTGAAAAGGAGATCCAGAGCCCCTGATGGAAGGATATAAGTAAATATTTGAATTTAATTTTAAAAATTCATTTAAATGATTATTTTTTCTCAAGCTACCATATTTGATTAATGCATGTGAATACACATGTGTGTGTAGCCAATATATCTTATTTCGATGAGAATAAAATCTATGGCTGGAGCTTTAATTACATTGCTTTGTTCCAGTCTAAGTGGAGAACCAGTGCATATTTTAGAATATATCAGAACAATAATACTCGCACATGGTCAAATATCCATTATAGAACAAAAGTTTCATTTTTTTCCAACATGAATTCCTTGAATAATTGACTCTGCTCTCTTCTTCACTTAGCGTGTGGACTAACAGGATTGATTGTTTTGAGTGACTTACTCTGCTCTGGATCAATAGAACAATATAATTGGCTTTTTCCACTCTTACATTGACTGGAACCACTGGCTATTTTGGTGCCTGAGAGGAAGCCATAGTGTCTGTAATCCTTATCTTCCTTACTGGAGTCTAATCAATGCTGGAATTTCAGTTCAAGGACTCTGAGATTCATGTCAATGAAGTTTCTAATTTCTTGTCAATAAAGTTCCTATTTCTGGTTTTGTTGCATTGACACAATTTCCCTGTCACTGCTGCAGTGACTCAAAATTATCTGATCAACTTTGGTTTTCATATTCAACTGCTAGCTCTGGGTTCCATTCACTGTTATCTATATAGTCCTGTATTAAGAAAATTAGTGGTGGTGATGGGGAAATGATGAGATAATTAGATCTAAATCAAGGGAATTATCTCAGTAAGTCACTCTCCTGTTTCCCCATTTTATTAATATCACATATTTAAATGTAATTTATTAGTCATTTCATTTAAAATTGAAAAATCAGTTTTATTGAAAAAAAAATCTAATAAATCCTCACACAGTGTCTAATGGAGTTCAAAATTTGTGGTGAGTTTGTTTATCAAACACCACCCAGAACAGATTTCATCTTTAGATTCTTTTCAGAGTCTTTCTTTCTCTCTGTACTTGGTGCTGACTCAGATGTGATATTATTCCGGTGCCTCATGTCAATTTTTTTAAAATAAAAAATCAAGGAATAAATAGATCAGCAATAAATCTCTCTTCTTGAACTTAGACCTTCAAAATACATTAGAAAAAAAGTGTGCCTTAAAAGGTAAAATAAATTCATGGATTCTTTTCTTGAGTTTGAACATGAGACCCTTTCATTCTGCACTTCAGGTTTCATTATATCGGCTGATACATAGTAAAAATTAAGATTTGGAGTGAAAGACTCTGAGAAAATGACTTTTTCCTTGAAATCTGTTCTAGTGATCTACAAGTCTCAAGTATTAAGATGCAAATGAGTCTAGAAACCTTAATAAATTGTCAAGGTCCCTCAATCAAAACTAAAATTCTTGTTTGTCAGCTCTGTATAGTCAGAAACTTTGTCATGTGGAAGTCTAACATCTGGCTCAAAATCTGGCATACATTTAGTGCCTTTGAACTTTTAAGTTTCTGGAAGAGTAAAAGAAGGAATAAAGAGAGACAGATGATATGAGAGAGCCTTTCTTAAGAACTGATGTAGTAATAGCTGTGTGCTATGTGGGGCGGTCCACCTTGGTTATTTTATTGTATCATAATTTCATGTTATAAAAAATCTGGAACTGAGGGTTTACAGTATTTGATACTACATGCAGAGCCATGTAGTATCAAACCCAATGCGCTTCCAAATTTATCCCAAGGTCATCATGAATCTATTAATAGTGATTCAAATTTGTAATTTTAGATGGAGGAAGAGGGCATGATTTCATCAAATGACCATCAGAATAGGGTAATCATGGAGTACCTGAATGATGCAGAGCTGAAAGACTCTAGCCCAGTAATCTAAGCACTAATGATAATGTTTTCTCTCACCTCTTCCTTCCTGTATCATTTTCCTTCATATATCACTTATTACATTACTCTGTTAATACACTCAGTGATAGGCTAACTGAATTTTCCACTAATTCCCATGCCTTGACTTACTTTCCTGCTTATGAGCAAGAGAGAACACAATTTCTAGTAAACTAATAGCTATCAGCATAGACCGATGAAGCAACAGGATGGAAAGATAATAGACAAGAACTGGGAGGGAGATATAAATGATCTTTGAAAACAAAAGTGAATTATAGGATTCATTAACTCCTGATTACTAAGAAATTAGAAATGGGAGATTCCATTTCTAATTCTGTACATCCTTTGCAGAACGAATTTCAAATCCATTATTGTTGTTCGTTAATTTCATAAAGCCTTTGTTCTATCATCTAAGTTCTGAGAATTGATTTCCTTTGTTATTTTTCTCCTCATTGTGAAAAGACTTTTACATTGGGCCTCAGAAGCTTTTGATTCAAGGTTTGACTCATAGAGAAACTGGAGCAGATGGGGAGGCTCATGGTTCATCTCTCAAGGTAGGAGTTTGTTTTTGGAGGAGAAAAAAACGATTATGGAAATTATGTTGATACAAACTTCTATTTTTTTATGCAAGTAACATTTCCTGCGGTGAGAGTTTCACGGTTCAGCATTTTTAGGTGTAAATATTTTTTCCTGACCATGGAATAAGTAAGTTTTGAGCAGCACAGAGGTATATTTGGCTTTAAAATAAGTGACCTCTTATTTAAGGGGCGGCAGAAAGGTGGAGAGGAAGAGAATTAAGAATATGAGGCTTCTCCTGTTTCCCCAGTGGGCTTCGCGAGCTTTACTGCCTGCACTTTCCACATTAATCACATTCTCTTTTAAATTCAGCAGCATCGTGCTTGGTGTACAGGGTCAAAGGCAAGGTAAAAACAACGAGAAAGTCAATTATGGTAAAGAAGCCTCTGATGGTAAGTTAAAGGCAGTTCCTTGATGATTTTGGAAGCAGCCAGTAATGACAGTCTGCTTTCACTTTGGGTCATTACAAATAACTGTATTTATAAGTTCCATTAGTAAAACTCTATGCCCAGTAAGGTGTTATAATGCAATTCTTGTTCCACTTAGAATGATCTGATACGTAAATATGCACACTTTCTGCAGATAACAAATACTGTGCTTTGGTGGCAGGGATTTTTGCACACAAAACAGCAGAGACACTCGCTCAAGGGTGATGTCTGGTTTCTCTGCTTGTTGTATGAACTATACTCAGGGTTGTCTATTACAAACAGAATTCAGTTTTTTCAAGAAGGTATCCAGGGAGTCTGCATACATTTTTCTCTTTGAAAAGTTTTGCTT